TGAATGATGAGCAGCAGGCCTTGCAGTTCCCTTCCTTGATTAAGAAAATGAATAAGGTATTCACACACACAAAAGAAGTCATTGCATTAGGCCGTGACCAGGCTTTGGAAATGCATGTGAATTCCTGGAACCAGCGATTTTTCCTGCATCATTTTGTATTTACACACAAGTTAGCTGATTTGGAAAGGCATCTTAGCCTGGTCTGGGCTAAGTCTCAATATATAATATGATTCCATTTTTATGACAAATTATTATATATATAATATATTTACTTCAAATGTATTCTATAACACAGCAGTTTCTCTGGGAAAAGAAGATAGAAAAAGTTCTTAAAAAGTTATAAGAATGTTAGGGTGCATCATGAGATACTGTTTCCTCCTGGTTTTTACTAGCCAAGTTACCTAACCTGAATTTTTTCCCCCTTATTTAAAAAATCAGGACAATAGCTACCTCTCAAGCTTGTTGAAGCTTGTTGCTTTTGCCAGAAGACTGAACACATTTGAAATCATCAGGCCTTGGGTCACGATTATGCCTGTGAGACCCTGTGCCCAAACCGGGGAGGAGACTGTCAGCTTCTGGGGGAGTGAACAGCATGTGCAGAGATTTCTGGAGTGCAACTGGAAATAGCTAAGGCTTTGGCAAGTTTAAGACTGAGAGCCAGGGCCTCTAACTGTGACTCAAATTGGCCTATGACTCTAAACTTGTTTGTACCGTTCTCTCATTGTTTCATGTGTATTCATCTCTCCCTAGCAAGCCTGAAAACATCTGAAGACAGCTCATGCTATTTCTGATTTCCCAAAAGAATCTGCCAGAGTCATGGGCTTACCTTGTTGACTGACTGACAGTCCCTGGTAGCAGTGACTTCAGCTGCAAATAAAGAAAAATTGTTTATGATCCAGGTAATAAAGGAGTGTGTCATGTAGTCATGCCTCTGTGGTGTTACATTGATCATTAAGATAGAAATGCCCTATGAGACAGAAGTCAGTCAGATACACTCAGTATTCGGGAATCTTGTGGCAGAGACAGAAGAAACATGTGGTTGGATTACGAGTCAGGGACTTGGTGGAGGAGGCTCAACTTGTGTTCAGGCAGGGACCTGGGCAGAAGCTCTCCCGAGAGTGCATGGTCACTACCAGCAGTCTCTGAGAGCAAGCCTTGAAGCCTGGAGGCAGCAAAGTCCTCTCTCCATCAGTAGACACACATACATTCATTCATTCAGATATTCTTTAATTCTGATGTTAAATATGATATGGTAGGCGCCATGCTCAGTGCAATGAATATAAAGATGTGTGTGCATGGGCTCCACTTCCAGTGGTGAGACAAATCTGTAAACAGATGAATTATGATGTCAAGCTTAATACCCTATGGCAGCATGACCTAATGAAAAGGGCTTTTGCAAAAGAGGGGAATGCACCTAGCTTTGAATACAGGCTTTGCCAACTATTATTGGTTGCGTGACTTGGATTTTTTCAGCTTGCTTCTTCATCTGTGAATCTGGAAAATTATACCTGTTCCTTGGGATTGTTGAAAGTGTGACATGAGAAACATATAAATAACAGCTGCCACAGTGCATATGATAGACCCTCAGAAAATATTTGATTCCTTGCTGTATAATAGTAGACTGTACAATGTTGTGGGTGCCTGAGGGGAGATTCCACCTAGGAATTAACATTTTTGCTGGATCCTGAAGAAATAATAAGTCCCTTGTTCAATCACTTATTCAGCATATGTTTGCAGAGCATGATTATTGCCAAATATTGTACCAGATGCTAGGGACACAATGGAGAACAAAACAGACGTGATCCTGGACCTCCTAAAGTTTATCTGCCAGAGGGAGAGACAGGTCAACACCAGACAAATGGACACACTAAATATGAGCAGGCGGCTGAGGTGGGGAATTGTGTATTTGGAGTCTTCTGGCAAGAGCACCAGGCTAACACAGCCGGGGGCTCAGCCAGGACCAGGCCAAGATGCCTTTCCAAATCAGCTACCTTGTATGTAAACATAAATTTGTGCAGGTAAGATCACTGGTTCCAGGGCCTCAAATTCCATTTCCAGAGCCTGGTTATGGTCTAATTCATTGACTCTTTTTTGTGTGACCACCTTATTCATTTTTTTTTAATCAAGGAAGGGAACCACAAGACCTGCTGCTCATCATCCATACCGGTTGAATGATTTTTTGGGGGTGGTTTTAATCAAAGTTGAGCCTTCTGCTAAGGTTTAGAGACACTTAAGGCTAAACTGATTAGACTTTGGGAGAGAGAATGAAAAAGAGAAGAGAGAGGAGCAAGAATGGAGAGAAAGAGAGATACACATTGCCCTATTGACGCTCCTCTGCCACTGACCTTTGCAGAGAAGTGTGCAGGGTGCTTGGGCAGAGCCACGTGGGAGGCTCCTGTAGCTCTAACGTCTGTGCTATGTACAGGGAAATGGGCTGGCCAGATATGGTCCTTATATCAGCCAACAACCAAAGGATGAGAAGGACAAACCATACAAAGAGTGAAGGGAAGAACATTCTAGGTGGAAACAGCATGTACGATTGTCCTGAAGCAGGGAAGGGCTTGGCTGAGAAAGGAAAAAATTGAATAAAAAAGGGAGAAGATGGCATTTAATGAAGTTCAATAAAGAATTCAGGGGAGTTCATTCCAGAATGAACAGCATATGCAAAGGCGTAGAGTCATGCAAGAGTCTGGCAGGTTCTAAGAATTGGGAGAACTTCATAGTGACCACACTCCAGCTAGGCTGGAGGAGGGAGTGGGGTGAGGGAGAAGGGTGGCAGGAGATGGTGCCAGGGGCTGGGGGTCAGACTGTGGTGGTTGTGGAGGGTCTTGCTTGTGTGATAAGTGAAGACGTTTAGATTGGACTTGCGATTAGCAATTAGGTTTGGAACTCCTGGCCTGGCTCAGCAGCCCCAGCCCAACTTTCCAAGCCTGTCTCTACACCCGCCCACTTACAGACCTTTCTTAACTGCCCTTCAGTTCTTGGATGCTGACTCCTCTGCATGGTTTCAGCTTCTCTCCACTCAGACGCAAGGCATCTTCTGTTATCTAGAGGCTCTACTCTGGCTCTGACCATAGAGAAAACATCCTTCACTCTGGACCCCAGGAAGGTGGTCAGGAAAAGCTAGGCTCATCTTCTAAAGAAAACTACTAAAACCAAGCAGAATAGATCTGAGAATTAATGGGAAGCCAATGTCAGTCCTTGAATAGTAAAGCAACATGAGAAAAATATTTATTAATCCATTTGACCCTGATTTGCAGAATCAATTAAAGAAAGAAGAGATGAAGGGCAGGAAGTCAAATGTGTGGTGGAGGGATTCAGGGGGCGGGGGAGGGTGTAGGTGTGGGTGTATGTGTTCTTTTTAAAAGGAAAAAGTCCTTTTACAAGGTGGAAATGAAACAGTACACACAAAAGAGTGTGTAGGGTTGGCCATTGTAGAGAAACATAATTTTAGTGAATTGAAATTTATTTGGAAAGCTTTTACTTTTGACAAATTTACCTCATATTATGAGGCCGCCTTGATTTAGCCTGGTTTAAAATTCAGAGGAAAAACATAGTCCAGTGGATCAAATCATCAAATACAGCTTGTTAACATGTCTGCATGAATTTCTGACATCTTCAAACAACTCACCACTCAACTCTTGGATCTTTCCACTTGCTGCATACTTGTGTGTAAGCTAGCAACTTCCCTCCCTCCTCCACTTACTCTACAAGAACAATTCTTTTAACATACAAATCTCTTGGCCTGCTGACTCCCATGACATAGGTTTTCTCCTACACAATCCACATCTTCACAGGATGTCTGTTGAGAACCTACTTAACTGCTTCTAGGGTCTTTTTCTCCCTACATTTCTTCTTCCATATATATATATATAAATATTTTCTATATAATATATTAATATATATAATATTTCATATATATATTATATTTTATATATGTAATATATAAAATATGTTTTTTGCATTTGAAATACTATTCTGAATTTTCTAAATTATAAAGGATTCTCAAATGAATGTTTGCTTGTATTCAATGGGCGGAAAATGTACTCTAATTAGCAAGTTTAATCCCTGAACTAACAGTGATGGAAGCATGGAGTGATTTCATGCTTCACCTAGTCTTACCCAGCAAGTTGAGAGAGACATGTGCTAAAGCCTGACTGGCTGATCTCCAGTCCCATGCACTGTCCCTGAGCTAATTAATGTTCACTTTTATTCCTGCTGAACATTTAGTTCTTCTAGGAGGCCTCTGAGTCAGTCACTGCCACCATATTAGGCAACCTTCTGACAAATTGTTTCATACCTATGAAGAAACTAAGTGTGGCCTCCTCAGACCATTGGGCCCTGCTGGTGATGTTTGAACTGCTCAGGGGATGAAGCAGTTAGCCAAAAATATACCAATTTTAGCAGAAAACACTTACATCAGTGACAGCTGGAGCACCACAAATTCTATAAACGCACTTGTTACTCATCTGCTGTGCCCTTTGGGCAAGCCAGGTATGTGGCCCACTTGAATGTCTTGTGGAGGAGAGGTTTCCTAGGCGGGCCTCTGGATGGAACCTGAGATGAGAAGAATCACATGAGCTTGGCATTCAGAGCATTAAATTGTGTTATTGGATTAGCCCTAATTTGGAAGAGGAGGTCTATCACCTAAATGGAATTTAGAGTGTTGAGAAGTGGAATGGCAACTGGATTGGGTGGACCGGTATAAGCACTTGTTGATTCAACACATGAACTGGGGGGACCATGAGATTTTGAGTGTTAACTGGTTGCTAAAGTTTTCTTTAAAACTCTTCAAGAGGTTCTGCACCCAAAAGCTTATCAGCCAGAAAAAAAGCAGAATTTTGTAAAAGGCAAAGCTAACAGTGCTAACTTAGATCACATGACTATAAGCTTAGCAGGAACTGGTGTGTAATTAACATGAACGTGTTGGAAATCTAAAGTCAAAAATGCCAAGGATTGTAGAACAAGATGTCCTTTGTTTACGGTTTTTGGTTATTTATTTAATTTTGTCTTTTGTTTTCTTATCCAAATGCCTGCCCATACAAGAGTGAGATTATCCAGATGAGAGATGTGATAAACCTAGACACTATGATTAAATTGTCTCAGATTTTAACCAAATAACCGTAGATCCCTGTCAGATAAATAATTTTTATTGATTAGTTTCTATCACTAACTAATGAAAGTACACACAAATAAATGTGTTCTCATGATGTATTCAGTCTGTTCTTTTAGATACCTTGTGGGTAAGAGCAAGGTTTTTACTTCCAATGCAATTCTCCATAGGGTCTAATTGCTATGAACACTCAGCAGTGCTGTCTCATGACCTAAATGCCCGTAATTGTTTTACCTATTGATGCAGGATGATCCCAGCCTATAGCTCTCATCTGTGATGCTCTTTAAATTTATGCCTTTCTAATGAATCAAAGTCACTTCCTCAAAAGACAGAACTCAGTCAGGTCAGATGTTAGGTATTTGAAGGGAAATATATATCCCAACTTGGAGCTCTAATATTGAGCTCCAAGCACAATGTATGCAATAATAACAGCAGCTACTACTTACTATTTGTTGTGTAACCATTGCTGTGATGAACATTTTTTATATATTATGCCAGTCATGCCTCTCAACAACCCATTTTACAGAAGAGAAAACCAATGATTAATACGTTTGCTCAAAGTCACACAATTAGTGAAGGAGGATTTATTTGAATCCAGACTTGTCTGATTCCATAGGCCCTGCTTTTAGAGTGGCTGTACAATGTGTTATTGTAAACTTTGACCCTGGAGCCAAACTGCCTGGGTTTAAATCTTTGCTCTGTCTCCTGATAAGCGGTAAAATGAGGCCTGTGCTAAGTGACTTATTCTCTCTGTACCTCAGTTTTCTCATTTGTAATGTGGGTGATAGTGGCAGTAGCTATTTTGTAGTGTTGTTTTGAGGATTAAATGTGTTTGTATACGAAAAGCTCTTGGAAGAGTGTTTGAAACGTGGAAGCATTATGTGGTAAAGGCTTGTTGGCATTATTATACCCACTAGGCACGATGTGCCACACATGCCTCAGATTTGGAAGTCCCAGACAAATTCATCACCTCATTTTCCCTAAACTTCCTTCCCTGGCTTGGCTGATGGAACTGTCATCCAGCAAGATTCTCCAAACTAGAAAAGTTTATATTCAATGAGTGTTTCATTTGACATAAATCAGTCCTGAATTTCTGTCAAATTCATGTTATAAATATACTATAAATGTATCCCGTCCTTCCCATTCCCACATGAGTCACCGCCTCGTCATGCACTGTCTGAACCATTGCTGTTCAATATGTTAAACACGTGAACTGTGGCTAGTTTGAATTGAGAGGCACTGTAAATATAAAATACACACCAGGTTGCAAAGATTTAGGATGAAAAGAGAATGTAAATGATCTCATTAATGATTTTTTATATCGATTACATGTTGAAAAGGTATTTGGGAAATATTGGAATAAATACACTATCGAAATTTGTTTCCCCGTTTCTTTTTATGTTTTTAATGTGGCTACTGGAAAATTTAAAGTTACTCATGTGGCATGTGGTCTGCATTTGTGGTTCATCTTCTATTTCTGTTTGCTAGTGCTGGTCTGGACTTTTCCATATGCCTTCTTTCCCTATCTAGCAATTAATCTCCCTACCTATTGTTAAAAGGTAAACTGAGGCATATTGAAACTTTTACGAGTTTACTTGAATATGTATAGATTCCAGTTGGGCAGTGCCAAACCAGAAGTGGCTAGGAGCATACCCTCCAACAGGAGCCAGGGGAAGGACAAACAGAGAAGGTGCAGAAGCAAAGACAGGAAATTACTGATTGGCTATAACTTAAAAGCCTAGTTGGCTGTTTGTGATTGCTTGTCCTTAGTGTTTTGATGTTGTAAATTTGAGGCATTACAGGCTTAGGTTTTGGTTTGATTATGTAGGTGGCCACAGCATCAGAGCCACCTCAGTTTAATGGCCTCCTTGTGTAATTAATTTAACACTATCTATCTGTTCCTCTGTTTATCTGTCTAATGTTGCTATTTTCTGTCTCACCTCTTTCCATCTAAAGACATCTTTACAAATCTGATTCAGTCTTTTTTGCTAGCTTCAGTCATCTGCAGTGGAAAGTCCAAACTCTATCTGGGGCATGCACGAATCTTTCCTCTCTCCCTGCCCACCCAGTCTCAGATCTCGGTCTCGTGTGACCCTCTCCCTTTCACATCATACTCCTGCGATACTGAGCTGTGTTTTGGTTCCCAGGTCATTTCACACTTTTCTGCCTTTGCACATGTTTTCCCTTTTGTTTTGAATACTCTTTCCCTTTCTAGTCTTCTAGGTGAAGTTTTATTTCTTCTCCACAATCCAATTCAGACATCACCTCCTCCAGGAGCCTTCCTAGCATGGCTCATCTCTCCCTCTTTTGCAATACTTCAGTACTTTATACACACTTTTATTATTGCTTTTTACACATATAACTTGTTTTTCTGTCTGTCATCCCTACTAGCGAGCATATAGATGATATATGATTGTATCTTATTCATTTCTATATTGACACTAAAAAACAATTGAATAAACAAAATAAAACAATACCTGCCCTCAAGGAGATACACTTTCTTACAGTAAAAGTAAACATAATACCAGGCATAACATATGCTCAGAGAGAGAGAGAGAGAGCAAGATCTATGAATGTCTATCTGTGGTCAGAGAAGTCAATCAATTCTGGTTGAAATCTGAAAGAAGATATAATGAGGGAGGGGAAGATTGACTGACTGGCTGACAAAAGGTCTCTTGAAGGTGGCCTGATCTTTGTAAATTTCACATAGTTCAGGCCTGACTCTCAATTATCCAGATTCTGAAACAATCTTGTCATTGTTCAAGCAGCAACCCGATCTGGGGATACTAACTCATGCTCCTAAAGACCAAGACTAAGGGTAAGCTGGAATTCTGATGTCTTCCTTTAGAGAGAGGTCAGAAACACAGGGTATAGCTTAGTGGTAGAGTGCATGCTTAGCATGCATGAGGTCCTGGGTTCAATCCCCAGTACCTTCATTTCAATAAATAAATAAGTAAACCTAATTACCTACCCCTCTCCCCCCCAAAAAACTAACAAACAAAAACACATTGACAAGAAAACTAGGTATTTTCATCTTCTAGCCAGTGCTGTATCTTCCCTTAAAAACCACATTGTTATGAAAAGCTGGCTTTGTGTGTGGAATCAGAACAAAGAGGGTGAATTCAAAGATTCAACTGTGGGCGCCTGCAGCACTCACCTCCACAGTTGGATGCACCTGTTACTGTGCGATCAAGCCCTTCATCTGGATACCTTCTCCCCTGGGCAGTGCTTTTATGGGCACTGTCTGCCTCCTACCCTTTTCTAATTTCTATTTCCGGACAACTGCTTCAGAAAGACACATTCTTTCCTTAGATATTAATACCTTCCATTAGACTGCTCTGGTCTGTTTTTAGCCCATTTATCTAAAGTAACTTTGAAAATTCCTGTTTTTATCTGCTGCTGTCGATCTTAGAATTCACTTTCAGAGGCAGCCCCCTTTCCCTTATTCCCAAGATCTTAGATGTCCAGATTCCTGCTACAATGCATTTCGCCTCAGAGGAAGGGGGAAGGAATTTAGAAAGAAGAGGAATGCTTCCTGGAGGAGACAGTATCAGGATTCTGAGGAGGAGGGTAGGGGTACTGGCATGGAGTTATAAAAGCACACAGTTCTGCCTTTTAGATTTGGGAGTCATCTAGCACTTGGTCAACTGCCCATGCTTGCTGAACACATTTTTCTGAAAGTATATATCAGCTAATTGGGGGAAATTACAAGGCCCTGAACATGGCCCTAAATATATATGGATTTTTAATACCAACACCTCTCTGGCTGGGTCATAGTCTAAACTTTGCTGCCTTTGTGCTGTTCAAAAGTATGCATTTAGCAGGGTGCTCACAGATGAAGCATTCACTATTTGTATTGTTATGACTGGTAAGTAGTGAAGGATATTTTAAAGGCATATTTTCTTTTTGGTGAACCAACAGAAAAGAATTATTTGATCTTGTATATTTATTTATTATCCTTTCTGGTTGGAGATGAGAAAATTTTTCAAGAAAACTTATAGAAATTCAAATTTTTGCTTCTTAGCAGCTGGAGGACTTAAACAAAAGTTTAAACAAACAAGCTTATATGTCTGTGAATTGCTATCTTGTTTTAAATGTCTTAATGTTTTAGTGCCTGCTTAAAAGTTACCTCTTATAAAGGATATAAAGGAACTTGGGAATTGGAGATAAGATGCTGAAGGTCTGCATTAGTCCCAGCTTTGTCACTGGCTGTGCAACCTTGACCAGGGATCTTAACCTCTCTGATCTCAGTTATTCTCTGCGTAAAAAATAGAGGATGGGCTGTGTTAAATTCCTTCAATCTCTCACAACTCAGGGAGTCTGTTAAGTATTATTTCAGTAAATGGGTAAAAATTTTAACTTTTTCTTCTCTCCTTTTCTCCCTCCCTCTTTATTTCCTTCTTTTTTTTTCCCCCTTCTAATTTGTAACATAGTGTGAAGAGGA